TGCTAAGTTCGAATTCAGCTCCAACTGACCTGGACCTGGAAGGTCATGACCTTGAAGTTCGTGTTCCTCAAAGGAGGTGGTCTGTGAATAGAGGATGAGACATTAACTTTGATAATCGGTCGGTAACTTTCGGGTGTAGGGCGCTTTCTGTTATTTGACCTTGGTGTTGACCTGGAAGGTCATGACCTTGAGGGTCATAAACCTCGTTGAAAGTCGTACATGAATTGGGGAATCGTTTGAGACCTTAACTTTGGTAATCGGTCGCTAACTTCGGCGTGCAGAGCGGTTTCCGGCGTTTGACCTTGATGTTGACCTGGAAGGTCACGACCTTGGAGGTCACGAACCTTGGCGAAGGTAATCCGTGAATTGAGGAATCGTTTGAGACCTTAACTTTGGTTATCGGTTGGAGACTTTAGCGCACACAGCGCTCCGAGGAATATATCTAGATGTCTAGGGAATTTCTCAACCGTTGACATTTGGCATCTTAGTGTGACGCCAGACTTACTAATACCTACCCTTGCACTGATGAGTTAAAATACACACATAAAACACATGAAAATTAAAAGCACATATCCAGTATGCATAGTACAAAGTACAAACCCATTGGCTGTATGTAGCATGCTGATTGGCTGATGACGACATGGCTGCAATCCTCAGCAATGCACACATTCCTTAGTCCTCTGCAACTTGTAAGGCACTCTTCTCGGAACAAGAAATGGAATATATCTTTGTCTAGGGTGATCGTTGGGCCATAAAACCTTCTGATTTGTGTAAGTCTCATCTCAAGCTACAAAACTGCTAGTCCAGTTAAAACCCTCATGTTAAAAGTGCACCATTTCCTTTAATGTGATGTCATAATTTGACTTTAAGAGTTAGTAAATATTGTCAACTTACCTCTGTGTGATCAAGCAGCCGATGAGGATTGGTTAACTTTCAATAGGCTACGTACTTCTCAATATACCCTGACCTAACCCTAGCCTGCTTCAGCACGGGCAAAAATTAATCAGAAAACAACGGACTTATTATTTTTAGGGAGAGGGAGCAGCGCGAGCGCCATTAGCAGCGCCACTCATCGAAGCAGCTGCGCCAAATAGGCTTATCATAAATTTCCCTTCAAATTGTTTTGATGACGTCACAAATTCATCAGAAAAAGCAATAGGCTGCTCTCCTAGCGAATGCAGAATGAATCACAGCGAAATGCAATAATGTTCGAATAAATAGGAATGATTACGTCATCAAGATAAGATTTATCTTTTGAAGTGTTTTGAGCTTATTGTCAGGTCGATCGCGCGCGCCAAGCCGTGTCGCACGTGTCGCAAGGGGAGAGCCGGGTCGCCTTGGCCGGCTCTCTCTATCGTCTGGATAAAAATAGGCCCCGCCCATCCCAATCAGCTGCTGTATGACGAGTTGATGACGACAACCACTACTTACCAGCAACCAATCTAGGGATAGCGTACGTGACAGTAATGGTGCAGCGGTTGCAAAATATTACATTGTTATTCAAACGGTTTTTGCTTTTAGGGCCTTGTTGTTTAACCCATCTGTGTTTTATTGTATTGAGATATGTGATTAGTAGATGAGGTGTTGATGAGGGCAGGTATTTTTTTAAAATATTTTTTTTTGACAATTTTTTGCCCTTCTTCTACTTAATAGCTGAACCCGGGGCCACATGAAGTCTAAACCTTATTTACATAACATGTCAATGCTGATGCTGTCTTGAAATGTGAAATTTAGACAATGGTAATAGGAATAATGAATAGCAATTTCACCAACAACTTGTTAATCTCTAGGAAGTGCAATTAAAATTAAAATCACTGTCTGCCACACTGCTTCGATCCTGGTCATGCAACCAACATTCATGGGTGGTGTTTCACGGCAGAGCACTGCAGTGCGCTGCGTGTGTCAGAGCATTGGGTTTCCATGGCAGTGTCAACAAACTTCACTGTGACGCTAAGCTATGACAGCATCCCAGAACGCTAGCATGCTGCGGTACCAGCACCAGCAGCATGCTAGCAGTATTTGAACTCAAACCTCTGTTCTTGGTACGGTTTTTCAGAACCTCTCACTCTGTTCCAAACGCGATTGATCATAAACTAAGAGATCACATGCAACGTCATTTGAGTGATGCTATGGTATGCCGTAGCTACCAGTGCACACAGTGTCTGGATGGTGAAACAGGGCCATTATTAATCACATTTGCTTTGCTTTGTTTCAGCAGAAACCTGTCTGCACATGGGAGGAGCGCAACAAAAGCCCATCAAGTTCATGCATGGCAGTGGATCTCAACAGGAGAAAACCAGAAAGAACATGGATGTTTGTAGATTGCAGTTGTACACTGCTGTTATCACCTGATGTGTGTGGCTGGCATTGCTCCTGGCAAGAACCACCTGCAACTGATGAGATGGTGCCTCAGTCGTTGAGTGTGCTGCAGTGTGAGAGGCGCCCTGATCTCTACTTTGTGATGGGTTTCCATTGGAGGTTCAACTGAGAAGTGAGAACTGACTGTGACCATGCTTGAGCATGCCAGTGGAGCTTTACATGCTTAGGGCAGCTTTTGAACAGATGCTGACCATGGCATGTCCCATCCAGTTATCACGTGCACAGAATGGTGGGGGGAGGGCAACTCTGGGCTCTTGAGTCAGCCCTACTGCACAGGGGGTACAGATGGCCGCTTACGTTTGGTGTGTCCTGCACTGCATTATCAAGCCCAGTCTGCGCCACAGGCAATGGGTCGGGCTGCACTATATTAAAGGCAGACTATCTTGCAAAGGAGGCTGGCATCCTCTCCCATAATGACACACCAATTGGCAATCATCGCTGCGATGATCACGAGGGTGTCTGCTTATCTAACATGGTGAGGTGGAGAGCCAGTTCAAGCTGGCCTGAGGGATGGTTTTACTTCATCTGAGGCCCCCTTTCCCCGCCTGCCAGGCCCGGTCAAACGACCGCTTCACAGTGAACGACTTGCAGTGGATGCCGTCCCACAGCGCAACGAGCGCGCCGACCAGAGGCGGCTGATTGGCCAAGAGGCGGCCGCGCTGGACGGTCCCGGTGGACGTCGGCAACGCCCACCGCGCGACCATCAGATCGGCTCGCGACAGCGCCGTCGCCGACTGACCGCATGACTGGTATCTGTTCTTGATGTGGGACCGACTGCCACCGCCGGTCGCGGAAGGGCATCGCTCATCGGCCATCGACGTCCACCAGCTTCGCGTGGGTCACTGTTCGGGCTGCCACCAATACACCGAATCGGATGGAACCCTGTCGGCGAATGCCGGCGGTGCCCCGACATCGACTGCGCGGCGGCCAGTGCATCGCGTGCCGGGAGGAGGCTGGTACCCCCGATCGGTCATTGGTCACAAACCGTGTCCCAGCTCATGACTGCATCCAGCGCAGCTCTGTGAGATGTTCTGCTGCAGTCTGCCGCGTGTGTTGAAAGAAGAATGAACATGAGAAAACCTCAAAACTTTATGCCTATTAGTATTTGACCAGTATTGGAATAAGTTTGGATTTTGAGAATTTGTGTCCCTGTGCTTGTGCCTGTGTGGAAAGGAATGCTTTACGGTGTACCATCTCAATTTGTGCGGCTGCTGACAGGCCACCTGGGTGCCAACGTATGTGCGAATCCGCGAATACGTTGTGTTTCGTCAGTCGGTATCGTTCTGAAAATATTGACTGCAATAGGCTATATAGCGTATGACGGTTCAGCCCAGCAGTAATAACTGACCATTGATTGGGCGAATTTTGTGTGGTGGTTCGCTAATACATAACCTAAAGAGTGTTTTGCCGGAATCGTTTAGTAGCAGAACTGACCGGAATATAAGTAGAATGCAACGGTTTGAATCGTTAATTTGTTGAAACGATTGTTCTCTGAGACCACTGTGTAACTTTTGACCTGAGAATCACCAATTATAACGACAACGGTGGAAGCAGTAGGCACTGTAGAGTGTAGGCAACACTATATAGTTGGCACACTTACGCAAGCACACGACTTACGCAGTGGACATCTGCATCATGCATGTTAAGGTTTACTGGGAAGAGTGAGAAATAAGTCAGAATATAACTGACTAAGGAAAATAGGCGATATTTCCAATTGAGCTGGGGCGGAGAGGGGGAGGGGACGTATGGTCAGCTTTGCCAATAATTCATTCTCGTTATGCAGCTGTGTAAAAGGGCGTCCGTTTTTTGGGGTGAGACCTTCCCCATTGGCCATTTCCAAGCTAAATCGTGGTGGATAGTCTGGAGACCTCAGCCTCGGTAGTCGGTACCCTGCGCGCTGCGCCACCTTGCGAAACATAAAGCAGCGGTCCTGTCATCTGCAGGCGTTACTTTTCATGAAAACGCGGATGCGTTCGCGCTTATGCGAAGAAAATTCTTCCGAGTATGGTTGATAATGAGATTAATTGTTGTCATTTATTTATTAATTCATTGGCAAAAGTACCCTAATAAATCGGTAAAGTAGCTTAAACTGTATCGTATTTCCTTGAGAAAAAAATGACGAACTCATCCTAAGACATCCAGATTATTGGATGCGTTCGTCAGTTGTAATAGTTCAAGTTTTTGGAAAAATTTGCTTGTGGAAAACCATAATATTTCAAAGATATGCCTATTTTCGAATAATTTATGCATTTATCTGCATTGACAAATGATTGTAAAGCAAAAGTGTAAAAGATTATTTCAATTTATTTTCTCAAATCACGATTTACGAACGCACAAAACTCCAGCTTTTTATTTAGTGCGTGTGCGAATTGCGGTCAAGAAAAAAGATTTAAACTGTCTATATTCCTCATAAAACAATGAAGGATGAATGCGGAAAACGCTCTTTTGAACAATTGTATATTTATTTTTTCTCAATTAAGCAAAAGTACAAAATTTTCAACTATTATTACATTTGCTCTCACAAAACCCATCACTTTTAAGCATGACGTCATGTCAGCCAAATTTACTAGCGCCATCTCTGGAGAGCATCTTTCGAAACCTCCAGACGATAGAGAGAGCCCCTTGGCCCGGGTCTGGGTGCGCGCGGCCGCGGGCAGGGGTGCGAACGGATAAAATCGATAAAATCAAAATTGTTGTTGGGGATGCCGATGCCGGAATTGGAATCTGTGGTGGCCCGTAAGCAGAAATACCGAAATACCTACCTAGTACCTAGTCTACCTACCAAAATCCAATGATACTGCGGGCTAAGCTCGTGAATTCTCACGCTGGAAGTTACAAAGAAAAGAACCTTCAAGGCCACGTCACACTAACCAGGACCGTTTTGATTTGTTGAAATTTAAGATTGGGATGTCTTAAAACCCCATTTGAATGACCCCTTTTGAAAACCCCTTAAAACCTCAAAGAAAGAATGGAGTTAAAGCGCCTGAATCACTTTGCACATGTTTTGATCACTTGTATGGTTTTGAAAAATTTGTGTGAAAAGTTGTGGGAGAAAATATACTCAATATAAATTAACATGCATCAACAGCCACATCACTTTAAATCTATTCTTTCTTTTATTTACCAGACTTTAGTTAGGGGCCTCTGGGTTCTTCACTGTGAAAGATATCACTCTTTGATATATTTTTCTTCTGGGTAAAAGACATTTTGTATATTATTGGAATTAAGGCAATGGGAACCCAGCACGCCTTCTGCGTGCTAGGCCCCCTGAGTTATCCCTGGAGCTAAGGGGTCCCCTTGCACATTCGGTGCTCAGGACTCGGGAGTGGCCATGGCCCCCGTGGCCCTGGCCACAAGGAGGGTCAGGGGAACGCCAGTTGAACGTCTCCCCATCCCCCAATTATCTTCGTAACTATGCGTTTGCTTACAGTGAGACGCGGCGAGGCGGTGTTGGAAAGGTTTCACCGAGACGCGCCATCTGAAACAATCCTTAAATTTCGAATCTGAGGCCACGTGACTGGTCAGGGTTATGTCAACGGTCAAAATTGAGCATACTCACGTGTAGGTCTCTAGCGAACGCATTGTCGAGCCCAGTTTTGTATGTATGTATGTATGTATGGATGTAGGTATGTATTTACGATCGTGGGCGATCCACACATGGCGTGGCGATTACTGCCCCGGCTTACTTACGAACAAAAGGGTAGGTACTGAAACTATTCCGAAAGTTTTGAACTCGTACAAAGTATTTATTTAGGTCAAAGTCAGGCCAAAGTGTTGGGAAAACAGTCATTTGGCGTCATTTTTGGGTTAAACTTAGCATTTACTCCGTCTTTTCAGATATCGATATTTAGGGAAATGAAACAACTCAGAATGGCACCAAATTACAAGAGGAAATCAGAGGTAAGTAAGGGCACCGGCACCGGCGTTCCGCCATACTCCGTACTCCGTAGCCTGTCCGACTGTGGTGGGCTGCATGCCTTCTTGCTTCCGCCTTCATGGTATGTCATAGGGTGGCGTTTTAAGCTGCATCCAACGGGAATGTGCTGTGCTTGTTTTGGTTGCAATCATATAGTATCCAGCCCCTCATAAAATGTAATGATCTCATTGCAATCACTGCTCAGTGCTAATGGAATCTCACTGTTTCAGGAAGGAGGGTCAGGAGAACGCCAGTCAAAGAAGGCAGCGAATGAGTCGGCGAAGGAGGCGTTTGTGAGTGACGCAAAGGACTCTACGGGAACCGCTTGGAATTTTAAAATAGCGTCTTGGAATGTGGCTGGCTTGCGAGCCTGCGCTAAGGTACGTATCAGCGAATGGATTGTGTTGCTGTTATACGAATATAGGTACTTTGAATGGCAGAGAACTAGCCTACGCAAATGTATAGTTCTCTGAAAACAAATGGTGTCTTTTCTACTGCAGTCTATCTTGTCGTTTTTTTACGGTTTTCTTTTTTCAGAAAGATGGGTTTAAATATATCGTCAAGGAGGATCCCGACATTATGTGCCTCCAAGAAACTAAATGTACTAAAGCCAAGCTACCCATCGAAGCAGAGCTCAAGGACTATCACCCTTACTGGCTATCAGGTAAAGCGATGCTGTTTTGTGACAGAGAAGCCTTGTCTTTCTGGCACCATATTGTTATGTGGTAACGTTCGACGGTCTCTGTTGTTTTAAAACTGTCTATAGCTTCAAATTACCGTGCGCTTCTTTCAGGAAAAGACGAAGGATACTGCGGTGTGGGTCTGTATAGCAAGAAGAAGCCGCTCAATGTCACATACGGAATCGGAGACAAAACACAGGACGAGGAAGCCAGACTGATCACCGCAGAATATGACAACTTCTATCTGGTAACATCATGTGAGTCTCTATTGTAAAATTGCGCTTTTCATAAACATACTCATCAACTTCACCTCTTTTCCTTCAGTTTGGAATAGTTTTAGCTCAATTTGAAGAAGATTCACTTCAATTGGAATAAGACGTAATTTAAGTGAATGACATCTCTTTCAAAATGAAGTGCATCTTTTCAAAATGAACTCAAAGTTTTTCAAACTGAAGGAAAAAGGGTGTAGTTTTCCGGCTAAATAAGCTTCCTTTTCTGTTTCTTTTCTCGTGTGCGCATGAAATGGGGCTCATGATAGGTACGGGATAATTTTTTCCTTTCTTCGGTGTGTTGCGGTGTTACGGACTTTCGTCCCCATGACGCACGTTTATGCTTACGGCTGGCGCTGTAACACCAATACATTTGATGGACCGTTTTTTTCTCAATTTTATGCATAGGACTCGCGCAACTTTGGCCCGTCAGTCGCCAGACCTTGAATGAACAATGACAAGTACTATTTGCCAGACGTTCCAAACTCCGGGAGAAAACTGGTGACCCTCCCCAAACGGATGGCATGGGACAAGCTTCTAAAAGAGCATCTCCAGAAGCTGGATGAAAAGAAGCCTGTTATCTACTGCGGGGATCTCAACGTCTCCCACAAAGAAATCGGTATGTGCTCTTATTGGCTATCCCTGCGATAATATTTCATGTAAACCTCAACATATTTACTGGCAATTGCTTGCTTTCAATGACCAAGCTTCATGATTGACGATGTCTGTATTAATATTTTATCCTGAAATGATCTTATTTCAGACTTGAAGAACCCAGCGACCAACAAGAAGAACGCTGGTTTTACGCAGGAGGAGCGCGACGGCTTCACGGACCTTCTTACTGCTGGCCAGGATGGTCTGGTTGACACATTCAGACACTTCTACCCGGACAAAAAGGATGCATACACCTTCTGGACATTCATGGGAAACGCTAGGGCGAAAGACGTTGGATGGTGCGTATCTAATGCTCCCTTGTTGCGTATATGCGCAAGATCATTGACTGATTCGAACTTCATTCGTTCGTTTCATGAATGGATGTTATTCCATTCGAGGTCACGGCCTGATATTTCAAATAGACAACACTGCGTTATTTAATAAAACCTTTGCCGTTTTTTGTAATTGCTTTACTGGGAAGTTAACTGCATAGGTATGTACTTTGTGACAATTGTGAGTATTGACCGATGTTAGTTTGAATTTTAAGTGCATTAAATAGAGACACGTCTTACTTTAACGTGCCACATTTTGCAGGCGCCTGGACTACTTTGTCGTCTCGAAGCGCCTGATGCCTCGAGTGTGCGACTCTCTGATACGGAAGGAGGTGATGGGCAGTGACCACTGCCCGATCGTGCTGCTCATGAACACTGAGGGCATGTGAACCGACCGGGGCCGACCAGCCTGACCTCCGGCAAACGTGCGCCGGCTGCCGGCCGGCACACGCAGCTTGGAGAGGTTGGCTGATGCGCGAGATGAACAGCGAATTTCGTCACGTCTGTCACGCCGCCATCATTGATGGCTCCATTCCGACTTCAGTTAATTAAGCGTCAGTGATGCTCGTCTGTTGTGCTTTGAAATCGTAGTGATATTTTGCGAAGCCTCGAGTCATGCAAAGTGATAGCTGTGAGGTCGGACGTAACGTTGGTACCTGGTTTTGAATATGTTGTTTTTTATTGCCCGTGTGAGTTTCATGTAAAGTGTAGTGGTCGCTTGTGCCATAGAACGGAAAGTTGGCTGGATGCGGTAGCATAGGGACGTCTCTCTCAGCGCTGCCGGCTGCCGCCACGACACATTTTGTGCTGTTTCACTACCTACAATACCCAATAGATCTTACTCTCCTCGTACAGATAGACAATACATTCAGCAGTTACGTTTGGCCAACTCTTTACAGACTCCGCCTGCGGGCATCCGGATGAGCTCCTGGATAAGTGGCAGAAACTTGTTCCGGTAAGCAAATGCCGCAAATATCTTTCGAGACGATGGTACGTAGACGAACACGAACGAGACGAATAGTTGCTACGCGTGTTTATAAGACAATTAATCACTGCATGTCGAGCAAGGAAGAGGGACACAGGGCGCATCAGAGGCATCATAGCTATTAGCTGGCGTGCAGTAAGTCACATTCATCGAACAGCGCAAATGGTTATTGCAGCTCTGTGTAGCTTAGCCACAGCATCGCTGGGGTTATCTGCGTGACGCTGCCATTCGGTCCAGTTCGTGATTGCAATGGTCGCCAAGTTTGTCGGATACTGGGACTGGATGGAGGCGGTTCACAGCTCTATCATCTCTCCTAGCGACCCCATCAGCTCCACGCAGACTCCCCAGGGTGACGTCCCCATCGCCTCGTCGTCTTGCTTCAATCATCGGAGTCAGTTATGCAAGACGCCGTGCCATTATGAGACATGATTTGGAGGTGAGTGACGGCGAAAAGTAAGATGTTATGCGATGCTTCTTTTATGTTTTGGCTAATTCTCGCATCAATGACGCTTTGCACCCTAGCTGTTTTTACTCGCCTTCATTGTTAGCGCGTTCTGATCTCTCACCTCGCCTCTGCGCGTCACAGGTCGTGTGTTGGCACCTGCGTCTGCGTCATGCGTGTGGTCGGTTCCTCGGTGGCGGTGCGCCGCCCGCCCCGGGGACCGGGTGCGCCCGCCCGGGGGCCGTCAGACAGGGACCGACTGTCGGCCCGAGCGGCGCACCCCACACCGGCCGACGGACAGAGAGAGATGCAGGGGGCGCCGGGGCCGCTGCTGCTGCCGCTGCTCGTCCTGCTGCTCGCGCTGCTGGTGGCAGGTGGGTGGCCAGCCGCGGCGCCGGCGACAGCGGTCTTCTGCACGTCCCCTGTCGGTCACTTGACTTTGTATTTTCATCATCTCATTTTATCTTGACATAGGAAATCCCGTCCCCCATCTCACTTCATAACATTATGGCTTAGTCATTCTAGAGCTGAATAGTCGCCAATGGTTCACATTTTTTTTGCGTTGATGAACTTTCGGTACGTTTATTTTTTATCTCAGTTCCGAAGGTATCGTCCTTGACCTCAATGCACATTGCACATCGCATGGTGTACGCGAGTGCTATATTACGGAGAAATATTGTATGTGTGTGTGAGGTGAGCCTAGGTCCACGGAGGTGATCTGCCGTAAGCAACTTTGACTGCTTCGTCTTAAACCGTACATCCGTTAAAAAAAAAACGTTTTTCTCTGTTGGACAGTCTCCTCGAATCCTTGCTGCTCTTATGTTGACTGCTCTTGAAGTCTTATGCTACTTGGCAACTTATGTGGCTTGTGTCATGTGCAAAATCAGGGGCATCAAAGCGGTTCCGCTTGGTAAAACAATGTATTTATCAGGTCAGTCACACTGAAATTTGACTTACCGGCGGGCACCCACCGGGTCCTTGCTCTGGGGGAGGGGAGGGGGAGAGGGGGTACGTACAACGTTCCGAGAGTGGTGTGCCACTGCCAGAGCTCACAATTGCACTCTTTCGTTCCTCGTCCGTAGTTCGTCTGGCTGGGTATTGTTTCGATTTCCTATTTTCGCGGTCTTAAGCCCTGTCAGGGTCGGAATTACAAACTCAGGGCGGGACCCTTTCTTCATACTCCTCTACAACAAAGCTATTCAGCGAAAGCAATTTATAACATCTGGGAAGAAAACATTCGTTAGCTCTTCTAAACCTATTTTCCAAGATATTAACTTTAAATGAAGTATTCCCGTTTAGGGAGCACGAAATATTAGATCACCTACGCTACGTCCCCATGGGCTAGGACCTCCGTAGGCCATGCCTTGCGATGGCTCCATCATACAGCCTTGGCTTCATCCGAGATCCTGGAGCGGTACGAGATTGCCTGCGGTCGAGACGCCGGTCAATATCGGCTTCACCCGAGATTAGGGTTGCTCCCCAGTCTGCCTTCATATCAATCGACAAACTAATGAAGCGCTCATCTAATATCAATTACCGTCTTCACGTCAGCTGATGGAATTCTGGGGAGCGCCCTGTCCTGGACGCTCCTGTCGGGACGAGCGCTTCCTGGACGCTCCTGTCGGAACTCGGTGTATTTGGAGCCGTTTAAACGAGCGATGCATTGCAATGGTTCAGGTTCAAGCCGGAGATTCAGGCGGCTTGTGATCCGCCTTCCTCCGATGATAAAAAGAGGAACCCTCCCCTCAACCCATTCAGAAACCGAGGTCTTCGGCCCCTGCTGTTGCCACTTCGTGGGCTGACAACCAAAATAGACGTATATTGAAATAAGAGGTGATACACTCTCAGCAGGGCGCGGAAAACCGGAACCTTTGCCGGAACCCCGGAACACAGATTATGCTCACGCTAATCAATATTGATAGGGATAAGATTAGTACCTACTTCAACCGACTAAAAGGTTGAACGAGCTGCACCTAAAACCTAAATGCCGTCGAGGCTTCAAAACCGTGTCACTACTCACTCCCTCGTATACTGTGGCGTCTGTACGTCACGGACTGCTCCGTTAACCACCAAGCTTTCCCCTCACATCGCCAGGTGTGCGCGGTAAGAAGTGCGGCACCACCGACCTGCGCTGCAGCCAGATCTGCTCGGGCACCGGCAATGCGGCCACCTGCTCCTGCCTGCCCGGCTGGCGGCTCGAGGACGACAAACAAAAGTGCACCGGTGAGAGAGTGCACAGGCGCATGGCCGTCCATCACGGACTTTCGTGTGAATGTTGTCACAGGCGCTGGTCACCTTTTTGATGCTGCCAGAGATGGTGGGAATGTTTCTGTTTGCTTATTTCTTTGTTTGTATTTCTTTCCAAACTGGCCAAAAAACGCGAGCGAACACTTCGAATGTGGCTGGCTTATCAAATGTTCATTACCACAAACCTAAAAAAGTTTCGTTGTCAAGCTATTCGATTTCAGTGTCTTAGCCATGATTCCCTACCCTTGGAGCTCATCAGACATTTTTTTCTTTTGAAAAGCGAACTGTTCCTTCAGAGTCGCGTTTCCTCTGCCGCTGACGGCACTTTGTAACACGTTTCAGTCGCGACCACTGCGCTCTGCTATGAAGTGCGCTCCGACTTTTTCGTCCAGCATCCGGCGGAGGCGAGTCGTAACCAGTCCGAGCTCTCCTGTCAGGAGTTCTGCAGCAAGAGGAAGGCACACTACAGCGCCCTGGGACGGTATGCCCATTGCTCGTTCTGGAGACCTAACTGCGCTTGATAACGTATTGGGCTAATTCCGTTCTATCGTTGCTTCCTTTTGATCATGACTTGGTACATCATGGGGAGTTGTTTTGATCAGTTTCAGCGATTTGATCTTTGTTCCGTTGTGCAGGATGGGCTGTCGTTGCCTTGAGTTTTTCGAGGTGGTCGGCTCGCTGGGCGCGCTGACCTATCAGCCGGCTATGTGCGACGGCACCCACCCGATCGCCTGGTCCGTCAAATACCTGGCCGACCCGGCGGTGGCCGAGCACTTCAACAGTCCCGACCGCCGCCTGCCGGCCGACCTCTACAGCATCACGCACGATCTGGACAGCCTGCGCGGCGACTCGACCATGGGCCGCCGGCGCGAGATGATGCAGCACGGCCTGAGCCACCACCACGGTCACACGGGCGCCGGCGGCCGCACCGCCGGCCGGCCGCCAGTCGCCGCCCTCCTGGCCGCCACGCTGGGCACCCTGGCACTGACCGCCGTCCGGCTTTGAGACGCCCGACCGCGCAGCAGGGTCCTGACGGGATCCCGGCAACCCACCACCCGGGCAGAGTACGGGCGGGTCCAGCCTCCCGCCGGCCGCTGGCTGCTGACCGGGTCTGGTAGGATTGGCCAGTTTGTGTGGCCGGGGATCTCGCCCAGTCGCTGTCCTCTTTTCCCCACTTCCGACGCTGTCGCCGCCGGCGCTGGAAGGTGAACACTAGCTGGTGGCTTCTTTCTGTCCACCGGTGTGCGGAGCTTACTATCGATGTCGCTAAAAATGTCGAAAACAGTTACTATTACGGTGTTGCGGGGATTGTGCAAGTGTTTTCACTTTTCTCCTTCCTTTCAACATCGTTGCTTTGTATTACAACAAGCTCAATGGCGGCTTATGGGACCATTTTACTCGCTTCGCATAATTCTGTCAACCATGCTCCAAATTGCTGTAGTTTAAAGACATTGATGTTCCCCAAGATGCACCTTGATGTTTTATTGATCGCATACGGCATATCCAGTCCTTAAACATCGATCTTTAATAATGTATTATTTGAAACGAACCCTTGCTCCTATACAAGTTTGTTTGAGCTCCCTTCCCCTTACCCGCCGCTCTTCCAATTTTTACCGCTCTCCCGGCCGAATCAGCCCAATGTTGTGTTGGTTTGACCGTGTGACTTTCAGAGAAGAAGCTACTCGTACATACCGATATATGTAGGTATAGGCTTTAGGGAAGCAGTTGGAGCCTGGAGGCGAGTCAGTCTTGCGAACACACAGCCACTGCATCTATTTTATGTCTTCTAGCTGCCATAGATTACTGTATGTACCGTTTATTTATCTATATACATCCGCATAATTGTCGTAGTACCTATTTCAGCAATTGTATGCAGCTAATAAAAAGGATATATGGTCGATACGGTCATTGTTACTTGTGCCCGCTGAAGAATATTTATGGTGAAATCGAATAGGTATTTTTGAATGGTCGATGTAATAAGCGTTTCAATGTAACGTGATAAATGTTGATACACGTACGCATTGTCATTCATTAATTTTCTAAAAGTTTTGTGTTTGGCACCATTGCAGAGAATTTGATGTGCTCTGGCTCAGTATATCGATCGATATTTTGCTCCCGGCAACCGAATTCTGTAATTTTTATTTGTCCTATCATTGGAGCTTATAAATACAGTCGATGTCCTATCGTATGTTTGCAGTATTCTACGGATCGAATCGAAATAAGAAAGGCTGAGAGCCGTTTGATGCCTCACCAGGTGGATAGATTAGGGGTGAAGCAGGAAAGCATTTAAACCCTGACCATAGGTGATGCATCATACAGGCCATACTCGTAGGCGGCGGAACGGGGAGGGCACCTACGCACCGTGTCCCCCGTTGATTTTGGCATTTCAACATTAGCCCTATGGGCGTTGGATGGAAAGAATGGGACCAAAAGTCGTCAGTGCCCCCCCCCCCTTAATTGAAGGTGTTCCGCCGCTACTGATACAGGCATAGAAGTCGTAACACAACACTGTAGAAATTCTGGTGCATGGATTTTGCGACGTGCCGTTGTGTCGCCTGTCTTATGTCCTCTTTAAACCTGCATAATTGACTACAGGTAGGACTGTTTGCTTGGAAACCTTCGAAAATTCTTTGTAAATGGTACACGATAATTCCGTTTTTTTTACAGCTTTGGTTTTACCGGTTGTTGATGCAGAGGTTTTGCCGCAAAAAAGTGGCAGTGAAATACTCTCAAGGCTATATAAACCAGGTAGAACGCTCCGGGAAAAAAGTTGGAAACAATAAATTAGTTGCGGCATTCCCTGATGACGCGAATGTGGGTCAGCGGCCGGCGGCCGGCGGCCGCTAACACTGTATGAGGATGAATGCACGGAACTTTTGCTTGTTGGAGATTGCGCTAGGCAGTTAAATGTTAATGTTAGGATATGGTTCGAAAGTAAATTGAACGACGCTTCGAACGCCGTCAATGAATTTGCGATACGACGACTATTTGTTTAGTTAGAGCCGGCGAACTTTTACCTTCCGACCGCGCGGGGAGGCGATATAGTGCCACACTGACGGTTTTTACGATAGCTCAAAATCCTTTTGAGCTAAAGAGCTGAAATTTGACATGTCCAATCTTTTGATCAAGCTGGATCTTCTGGTACAAGTCGCATATTTAAGGTACGTAAGGTTGTTGAGCTAAGTTGTCGCTCGTGAGCCTCTACATAGTCCAAAAACAACGCAATTTCTAAGCACTCAGTGCCAAGAAATCCTTCACAGAAAGATGATACTTGGCGGAAAGAATGGCTGTCGGTTTCTTACCGTTCGTATGTATCGTGTTTTCACAAGAGTTTAGTAAGGTCAGGTCCCTCACGTCACCTCCCCTCATAACTCAATAGGACTAGGTGTACTATCATAGAAGCGTTTATCAATCGCCGGAAATCTTAGCCAATCCCACTGGACACTGGATCCATACCCACATGGGGCCCTCCTGACTGGCCACTCCCTCTGAAATCCACAATAACATTGGATTGGGCTGCGGCCATGGTTATGTATTAATGCTTTTCACTAACAGAAATACAACAACTTCAACCAGCACAATGCACGCCGCCACAACAGTCCGACCAACGTCCCTGATATCGACTAGCACTCGGCCGGATGCACATATGCGGAGCCAATTAGTCCGAATGTGACCTGCAGCTTACAATTGCTGTGTCGCATGGCGCGTGGCACAGGACGATTCCTAGCAGCTGTCGGCTGGAGTGGAGAAACAGCACGTTGCGACACACCGCGCCGGCGACAGAGCTCAGCAGGGCTGGTTGGAGGCTGGAGACGGAGGTAAGGGCGGACACAGGCACAGACATTGCAGGACAAATAACAGGATGTCAGTTAGGGATATAATTCAAGACGAATGATTCAAGACGGACTAAAATAATGCACATTTTGCTCACTTGGATACCAACTTCAAACTTGACGTTTATAGCACCACGGAAACAATGGCCACAGACACAGGAAAGAATCAAAAAATGAGGTGTTTTTAACTCAAAGTAAATAGAGGTTGCATATGATGGAACAGCCCGAAGTGCAGACAAGCACATATTTTTGGTAATAGCTATCAGCTGTCCTACTCTTCTCCCTTCATCAACTACTGGACACATCTGAGGAAGCACCAATGTCCATAACAAAAGCTTGCAAAGCAAAGTAGTTTTATGAAGCCAAGGGAAATACCTATGCCTACATCATGCATGTAAACTCAAAATTACACATGCATGACAAAGAAAGCTTATGTAAAGAGAAGAGTTGGCAAAAACATTTCATAGTTAAAATTATTCAAAACTGCACACAGGGCAAACATAAAAAGCAGCAAGTGTGCTGTTCTGTTATGCTAAGAAATAGTCCAAAACAAAATACATCTTTTCATGTTTGAACTGGTTGTTCTTCTATGCCACTTCATCCATATCTTGATTACAGATGGGCTGTTGCTGCAGGCTGATGAAGTGACACTTGATTGCCTTTGTGCGAGTTTCAGTTGCAGCCTCCTGGGTACTGCACTGGAAAGCAGATTGAATTGAATGCCTCTGAAAGATAGGAATACAGGCAAAGTTAGCTGTAGTAGTGTCAATGATAATAGACATGACATTTTTGTCCTTTGACATACATTTTGGCATACATGAAGTACAAAAAGGTACAAAATAAATTGGTTGGTTTGTTTCAAGACATGCGCACTGCACAAAGCCGCACAGACATTACACAGGGATATGAAATTGGTACACATAAAACTTGATGATTAAAAAGGTCAAAACTTGCAATAATAATTGAAGTAAAAGTTACAATCACAATCATTTGATTTAAAATGACTTGACAAGTCACAAGACGCAACGCTCCTATTCATTTAAGAAGGGTTTTTATGCTTTCATTATCCTCCACATATCAACCAGCTTGATACCAGGCTGTGCAATAGTGTGTACATAACCCCATGTTGCCATTTTATTAGAGCAAGTGGGGTACAACAACAATGCTGATGTCAAACCCACATCTGCAACCCGTACTGCAGTTTCAATCACCTTACAAGCACACCTTCTGGCAGTTTGATAGGCAGAATGGTCATTACTACTTTCTCCTCATATTCAACACATATTTCCCTTTATACAGATATAGTTTAGACCTGGTTATGGCAAGCATTTTCGAGAAAAGATATGATCAACGTCCAAGACAAAGGTCGAGAGAAACAACACCAACATAAAACACCGACTATGTAGCACTAATACTGTCAAATTCATAAAAATATATACATGAGTCGATCAGAAATTCACTGTAGATTTCGAAAATGGTGTCAAATGCCACTCAAATACCTCCATTCGCATGTACGAAGCAATAAAACACTGACCTCCAATTCCGCGTGCCATTCTCCATAGGCCACTGTGTATTAAATAACGCGTTCACTGATAGCAAAAAATGAGACCCACATATGACGCGTTTGCTACCAGCCAATCAGCGCTCGAGATGCCGAACGCTGATTGGTGGAGAGGGCCGTCGTTAGCAGTCCATTACACGTTGTTTTCCTTGAACATGTGCGTGAGCGCTGATGCTGCTCACGGGCTGTTGCCATTTCGTAAATGCTGAAGGCACGGGAGCGAACCCCCCTGAATACTCTTATTGCAATCGTCATGTAAACAAACCGGTGCTGAGACAACTATGACGCTACAGGCGGCATCATGCGACAAAATATGTCTTCACTTCCGGGAGAGAGACCCACGCTGGCCGTTGGGTAAGCGATATGACCTCTTGATTCATTTCCATTTTATATAATTTCTTGCATTGTTATCTTTTTTGAGCGATAATTAGCTGTTGATATTCTCTCACCAAAGCCGGTCCCGTAGCTCATTTGGTAGAGCGTTGGACTCTGCGTGGTGATTGCTCGCGTTCCCGGTTATAACTTGGTTATAACCAAGTTATAACAGTCAGGGTTCGAAGCGCGACGGGCGCTTGACATTTATGGACCTCCTGACAGGTATGCTTGCAGTTGGTTGCAGGCCGCACTTGCAGCCAGGCAAAGTCAATAAGGGGACTGGGCCCGGCGGCCGGCTGTGTGCGGCTATGTGCGCACGTAAAACTTTTTAGCAACCAACTTCAAAATTTGACCTCACTTGACCTGACCTCGACCTGATCTTGACCTGCAATTGGTCGCTGCAATTCATCCAGATGTGGTTCATATCACTTTTTGAGTGTGCCTATTGAATTCTATGAATAAAATGACCTTTAAAACATGTGTCGCGCATGCCCTTTTCTATATTGCGTTTTTGGTGACCCAGACTGGAAATAATACACGTTATGCCGAATATGTCCGGCGTAGTGGCGGGATTGCGTCAAAAATTTCGGCGCATGTCTGGCGTAACTTCGCATGCGCCGAATTCAGCGCATGGCGGCGGACGAATTTTTCGGCGCAGGGTGGTCGCATAATTTTTTGGCGAAAGACGGTCACCGAATTTATGCGGTACGCTGGTCAATCTAGCAGCAGATTCGCCCCGCGGGCGGCTCGAGAGGTTTCGGGACGAGACCGACCTCCCCGCCCCGGTCGTCGCGTGCTCGAACTGGTGAGCCGCTCGAACTCAGCGGAGAAGCAGCTGCCCAGGTGAGGCCTCAACCCTTGGCGTGGAGATAGGTATGGAAGACCTTGTTGAGCATCACCAAGCGTCGTTAGGCAATACTGCAGTGGGTTCCTGCCCACTGCGGTATCGAGGGGAATGAGAGCGCGGACGACTAGGCAAAACAGGCGGCCGCCCTGCCCTCAAACGCCCACTCGCTGACCAGGGCGGTTCACTGTGCGGCCTCGCATCAATGGCGCGACAACTGCTCAGAATCACTATTCAAGCCACTCCTCGGGAGCACGTCGCCGCTCCCTATCCCCGGAGCGGACCGAGAGGATGCCGTTTCGGTGCACCAGATAAGGGCGGGCCACTGGGGCCGCTCGCTCCAATACGGCACCGAATCGGCTGTCTCCACTCCGCGGCGTGCCAGCAGTGCCCAGACAAGCGGTGCCCCGCGGCGCTCTGCGCCGTGTGCCGAGAAGAGGGTGATATGCTGCTCCGCTGCCCGGCCCTCGCTGCCACTCCCACCAGCCTCGAACACACTGCTCCGCCGATATTAACATCGGCACAAATTTGTGGCCCCGGAACTCACGGCTCCAGCTTTGTTTCACGGCATGAAGCTAGAGTGCGCTAAAACTATTGAGGTATTGGGTTTCTGTGGAAATGAAAAACTCATTCGGACGCTCAAACATGGGAGAGCATACAAGGCCCCGGAACACTCTGTCTGGTTCATGGAGTTCATAAAGATCGGTAGATGTGCACATGTGCTTTATATAAAAGGGCTTAATTTTAGCACAAATAGGCTTAGGCACCTAATTTTTAGCGCAAATCACACAGAAATTTCAGCGTAAAATCGCTTGCGCCGAATTTCGGCGCAAGAGGGTCTCACGGGCGTCCGGCGTAGTGTATGGATGTTTTCCAGTCTGGTTGGTGACCTGACCTGACCTTGATCTTGACATTTGCATGATATTGTATGCAACGAATATTGTCTTGGTAGCCTAAGAACACGTTTTGGGCAATCAGTCTCAGTCCATTCTTCGGCAACTACGGTGCAAGGCCTGTAACTGTAGAAACTTGCATTTTGTACCTTTGACCTGACCTCATGACCTGACCTCTGACCTACTTAAGCAAAAAAAATTGGGCTCTTAAGATCCGCCTTGTTGAGAGCTTTCGATTGCCGTTTTCCCCTCTTTTTACGATCATCGGTTCGGAAGTGAGACAGGGGGGGGGGGGGGCAGAATCTGCCCCCCCCCCAGCAGGGCGCGTATGGCTGAATAGCTCAGCGGGGCGCGGGCTAACCTACCTTGGGGGACCTGCCGACCACTGCTGTAGATGCAGGAGCATGGGACAAAATTAGTGAGTTTTAGCTGGGAAGACACAATTTTAGATACTTTCAACATATTTCTAGTCCTTTCTCATAGTTGGTAAGGCTCCAACTAGTCACTAGCACACACAGCTCTTTTATTAGGAGCCATAAAGTTGGCCGAAATTCTTGACTTGTCAATGCAAATTGTCGCCAAATATTGGCGACAATAATAATTGTCGACAATAATTGTCGTTCCTCATCAATCGCAAAAGTCCTTTTTGATGAAATAATGCATAATAACTGTCAACTAATTTTCATATTTTCGCCCTTAGGACGCAATTCTAAAATAGCGCCAGTGCCCTATCTGCCGTGATATTGCGTGGTCGGAAAATCGGCGGAGTTTCCAGTCCAGGAACGCTTAATTCATGGCTTAGTGGTTTTTCATGGTAATTCATGGCTTCATGGCTTAACTTTATAAAAAAAGCTGCATAGGCTTGTTGGAACTCGTGCTAGCTAGTATAGTGACTTTGACACTGCCAGATCCAGGGAGGGGGGGAACTTGCGGTTTCTGGGATGTTAGTAGATGCTTTTTTTAATTCGGAATTTCGGAGAAACTTTTAGTGGTATGCCCCCCACCCGCAGCATTCAAAACTGCCTTTCTGGATTTGCCAGTGGGTTCTGATAGTTATTTAGACAAAAGGCATGCACTTAAACATATTTTTGATAAATCTAGTCAGAACCTTTTGAATGGAAAAATTCACAAGGATTCCCAGAGCCAATGCTGAGCAGAGTTTGTTGCGCCCTCTACCCTCTTATGCTATTCCTGATCTCTGGCAGAAGTTGGAGTCAGAATTGAAAGTTAAATGTGCACACATATTCGAGGATGGGCTGGCCGGTCCCCTCACTGACTTCACCTGGCTGTGGCCTGCCACTAACCACAACCATACCTATCAGGAGGCTCATGAAGATCAAGTGCCTGTTGCGCTTTGGACCCCGACTATTATAACCGGGGTGCTTGCTCTCGCCATGCACTTCATTCTTAATCTAAATTAAGCTCTTCAAATTGGGATGCAGTTAACAAAGACCAATGTTTTCTTCTGCTTTACCACCATTATTATGTAGGTATTCTTAGTGCTATTGATGTGACTGTGAGTCATTTATTTCTGTTCCCGTTGGTGATCAGGTAACAGGCATGTGATCATACAACTCCTCTGTGTTGCAGTGTCGCAGGCTGAGTGACCAGGCTGCTCTGTGATCTCCGTCGTGTGCTGCGCTGCTGGCCTGGCCACAATGGGCAGCAGACAGCTGCGGTTTCAGCTGCTGCTTCTGCTGCTGGCTGGATGCAGTCTCCGGGCCGGTGGCCTCTCACAGCAGCCAATCCTACTGGTCCTGTCCCTGGATGGTTTCCGTTATGACTACTTGTCACGTGCCAATCTGACACACTTTGACCAGCTGCGAACCCAGTGGACGTTCGTGCCGCACGTGCAGCCGGTGTTCCCGTCCAAAACGTACCCGAACCACATTTCCATCGCCACCGGGCTCTACTCGGAGTCGCACGGCGTCATCGGGCCCTTTGTCGAGCCGGAGACGGGCCGCTTGGTGGACCACAACGAGACCGAGTTCTGGAACTACAGCGACGCCGTGCAGCCCATCTGGGTGGGTGCCGACGGGACGGGGATGGAGTGTGCTCCTAACTCATTTGCCGTCGTATGTATGGACAGAACTGGAGAGTTTAGGGAAATAAAATTAGAGAGGGGTGGCAAGACAATATGCAAGAATTAGACCAGGCCTGATTTACCCCACTAATGTCCCCTTCCAAGAGAGTGTGTGCGTGTTCCTCACTAACAATGTACTAATGAACCCTGAATTAGCGGGCAGAGGCCTCTTGCACCAAAATCCTCTTGCACCAATGCTTGGATTATTTTGCATCGTATACCCAGTCCAAGTCTCAAATGTAACAATTAGCGTGCAAAATTTAGCAAGCACATGTAGGATAATGTATTGGGCTATTGCAAACAAATTTACCACCGTTAGATTAGCTTATTCTGAAACCGGTTTTTCGATTTTACCTAGCTAGGTAGTTTGGTGCAAGAGGCCTCTGTTTATGCTGGATTTGGCATTGACTACTATTGCTTTCTGTATCTACTAACCAAGTTAGGTGACATCATACATAGTCAATTTCGGCTTCTTTTATGTTTTTTTCCTCTTCTTAGCAGGGAGTGCCGCGACTTTTTCAACTTCGATATTGATTTTGGTGTTAACGTAAGGGTTCTGTACGTCGCTGGGACTGAGGGTGGAGGCACTCCTGGTTGCCTGATCATGGGTTACGGACTATTAGTTAGAAAAAAAAAATAGCGATCGACAGCTGGGCCGGGTCATGCAATTTGGTCATGCGTTATCGATGCAGTTAGGTCATGTGTTATCGACATCGGCGGATATTTACGAGTATTGATGCCTAGCGACTAGCGTTGTTAATTTCGATTATCGTCGATTTTATCTGGGTAATGTATTGCGTTATCTCTTATTGACGTTTCCAAGTAGATGGCGGACTATTGGTCTGTTGTACCTATAATTTTTATTTGTACCCGTTCCCTACGATAAGACCGTCTGTCCGGTGCCTCGCCAGGCCCTGAACGAGGCTACATCTCCGGACCGGTTCAGCGGCTGTATGATGTGGCCCGGCTGCTCCTTCCTGAAGCCGCCCACCTACGTACAGACCTACAACAGGTGCGTATCCGGCGCCGCCGGCACTTCGGCAATCTCGCTCCACGGCTCCGTTCGCTCAATTTCCAATGGCATTGCAGTACCTACCGCTCGATAAGCAGTATATTGTGTACCGTAAATACAGCGGTTGCAAGCCGTCAGTCTAAGCAAGGACAGTTCATATATTTGTAGTTTTATCAACGGCTGCCTTCGCCAAAAACCGTGAGCTGGACCTTGCGGGTCAGCCTAGCCCTTCAGGCGCTTACTGCCAGCACCATCTATTGACATGATTCAAACACCCGGTCGTTTTCGGATAATTAACAGTCTTAGACACAAGTGAGGCCGATTAACCTGTAGTGCCGGTTATCTAAGCACTGGTTGGGACAATGTACAATTTATATTTTTATATCGTCCTCGTTCAAAGTCGAACTTTTGCCACATTTGACGTAAACGAGTGGCTGCACTTACCAACACAAATAATTTGACGTGGAAATATACCTACCGGTGAACAATGAGCGTCTCTGTATGCCTACCATTTATGATCTGCCCTGCTATTTCAAGGGAATGCAGTCCTAACGACTTCCTCCGGCGTCACTGTATCGGTAATCAGTGCAGCCCCGCCCGAATCCGGACCGGTCACCCTCACCCGTTATGACCGACCCCGTGTGTGTCCGGCAGCTCGATCGCGTGGGAGGACCAGGTGAGCATGGTGTTTGACTGGCTGCGGGACACCGAGCGGCCGGCCAACCTGGTCTTCTGGTACCTGGACCAGCCCGACTCGGCCGGACACGAGTACGGACCGGACTCGCCGCAGGTCAGTTACCGTTAGAGCAGCTGCATCGGACCCACGTCATGAGGTGGTCGTTCTCATTTCCCGGAGAATACACAGGAGGTCAATCTGGGCCCCGAGAGCAGTACGTTTAATGGTTTTGTCCTCTCATGGCTCGTTGCACACTTTCTCCCGGCTTATCCCCGGATACCCGACTTAGCTGTGTTCTGGTAGCGCAATGCCCGCTCTTGCGCTCCTTCCTATCATGCCCTGTCTCGCTGACCCCGCCGGCCGTCCGGTCTGCGCAGGTTTCAGCCCAGCTGCGGCGCGCCGACCGCCTGCTGGGCTACATCGGCCGCACGCTGCGTCTGTTCGAGCTGGAGAAGCGCGTCAACCTGGTGGTGACGTCGGACCACGGCATGGCGCCCGTGCCGGCCGACCACCTCATCAACCTGGACACAGTTGTCAGTCCCGAGTGGTACACCACGCTCGGACCGGACCCCGTGCTCCGCGTGCTGCCCGTCACAGGTCAGTGGCCAGACCTCTCTGATAATACTGCTGCTGCTGCCGCTGACTGGGTCATTCCTTCCTGGCTAGCCTTCTGACCTGTGTTGGTCCCGTGACTCCTTTGAACCCATGACTATTGACTGTAGTTCCTGCCATGGTGACTCGCTTGGCCAATTTACCGCAGTGCTTGCCGCGGCGAGCTGTTTGACCCCTCCGCGCCCTCCGGCCAGGTAAGAGTCTGGCCGTGTACGGTCTGCTGTTGTGACCCGTCTGACCGGCTGTGTCCGCTGCGCTGACATGTCTGACCCCTAGTCTGTACCCTCTGGCCAGGTAAGAGTCTGGCCGTGTACGGCCTGCTGTTGTGACCTCCCTGACCCCTCTGTGTCCGCTGCGCTGACCTGTCTGACCCCTCTGTACCCTCTGGCCAGGGAAGAGTCTGGCCGTGTACGGCCTGCTGCGGGACGGCTCGGAGAAGCTCGGTCTCAACTACACCGTCTACCTGAAGGAAAAGATCCCGGAACGGTGGCACTACGCCAACAACCCGCGCGTCACCGACATCCTGCTGGTGGCCGACCTGGGCTACATGTTCACCACGGCTTCCTTCAACCGCACGCTCGAGTACTACCGGCAGATGGGACGCAACGGCACAGGTGGGCGCCGTGTGTGGTTAGGGTGGTCAGGGCTATACAGCTTTGTAGCTTTTGACTTTGGTGAGGCTCTGACGTCATATCGTTGTGACCAATGCTCTGTGGGGCTGCTTGTATGTGTAAGCTGGGTTCACAGTCGCTGTACGGGTCCGTCAGAAACCGATATCTAGTTGAGAAGTCAGCATTCATTGATAGTATACTTACAATACCAGAAAGGTACGGGATGCATCTCCCTGAGTCTGCCGCCTGATAGTCTGAATCTCCTTCGATTCTCTGAGTCTGCATGACCTCAGCTGACTGCTCCCCGCCACCGCGGCAGGCCCGTACGGTGACCACGGCTACGACCCGGCCTCGCCGCTGATGGACCACCCGCTGCTGGCGCGCGGGCCCGCCTTCCGGCGGCAGTTTGTGCACACCACTCGGATGGAGAACGTGGACGTGGCCTGGCTGGCGGCGCTGGTGCTGCGCCTGCCGCTGGCCGACGACGCCCTGAACGGCAGCCGACTGCGCGTGCAGCCGCTGCTGGCGCCCGACAGCGCCGCCTTCTGGGCGGGCGGCGCCGGCGCCGGCTTCTGGACCGCAGGTGGGGCGCAGTGGAATGGGAGGAGGGGGGGGGGGGGGGAGTTGAATGAATCTTGGGCGTCGTACATATCAGATAACACTGAATAGGAAGAATAATGAGAAAGCGGCTGTGCATATATGGTTTGAAACTTGAATTTGCTTTATTTTCGCCGTGCAAATGCAATGTTCCTAGTCTACGCTAAAAAATAATCCTTACACGTTACGATTTGCTATATTCCAGTGGTGCTGTCTGTGGTATTCGGGTCTTGCGTCGTAGCGCTCGTGATCGCCGTCATCAAACGGAGCGTGAGGAGGCAGTCTGTCAACTCATCCCTCATCAACGGATACATGTTCAGGTGAGGGCAGGCGGACGAGTGCAGAATGTGAGCCCAGAGGTATGACAGCAGGACAGCTGCTGTTGTTGCGTTTGCGCTTGAGTTCGGCCTCTGCTTATTTCGCGAATTATTTGACACCTAAAACAATAAATGAATGGATGGGTTTTAGTTTTTACATTCCCATTAGTATGTACGTGAGAGGAAGAAGGAATTCACTGAACGTTCCCAAGCTATCCGCGGGATCTCTGTTCCTATGTGCGGTGTTCTGTTTATGACGGACGTACCGTACCCAGTCACTGACTCCAGCGGCTCCCCGTCCGCAGGTATTCGCCAGTTCACCGTGTGCACAGTCGCGCTGACCGGGTGAGCGCGGCTGTGGGCCACGGTGGCATCGACGGCGAGGAGGCTGAGCACCTGCTCTCGGAGAGTACACCCCCGCCGACCGGCGTCTGAAAGACCGCTGACTGGAGTCTGAAGGGCCGCTGACTGGAGTCTGAGAGACCGCTGACTGGAGTCTGAGAGACCGCCGACCGGCGTCTGAAAGACCGCTGACTGCAATCTGAAGGACCACCGGCCGGCTTATGGAGGACCCCGACCGCCGACCGTCGGCTGAAAGACCGTCGACCAACCACTTCCATGATGGTTGTGTAGGATAGGAAGCCCGACGGTACACGTCGGAGTTCAGCTGGGGGCTCGTACAACCAGAAAGTTGGAGAATTTATTTCTTCGAGCTCCGAAGTAAGGGCTTAAGGCCGCCGTCCACTGTGCGGAACGCGTGCGGTCCGTACGGAATTTAACACAGAACCCTATGGGCGCATCCGGTCCGTACGGAAATCGTGTGCGCTCCGTCCGGACCGCATCCGAACGGCAATCAGCTGTTGATTTTCCGTCAGCTCTCCGCATGCGTTTCGGATGCGGTTGCTACGGAGACGGAAGAGTGATGTTCGACGCGTTGAACTTTTCCGCATCCGGAACGTCCGGAACAGACGTGGTTTGGGGCCGTATCGGAGGCAAACATTGTGAATTGTACGAAGAATTGGAACTCGATCATCATGAAGTAAGTAAAAATTATTTCCTTAGAATGGCAAGAGTATTCGCTGCTGGTTACTTGCAATATTTTATTTGGTAATAAGTGATAGGAAACATTTATTAGCTCTCCGCATCCGGACCGCATCCGGACCGGATGCGGCGAGCGTGCGGCGACATTCCGGACGGACTCCGGACGGAATTCCGTCGCAGTGGACGGCGGCCTTTAATCCCTTTATTTATATTCGGTGTACCAGCTATTGCCTACTGCGGAAGGCGTGCCTTCCACCCCCTAGTCAACTTCTCAGTAAAATCATAATTTATTCGAGCATCAAGTATTCAACGTTCCATAGCTGAAGATCTCAGCCTGAGCGCGGTGGTTCTTAGGTAATTGCATATCTGAATTTATCCAGCTGGGTGCCGCATTAGTTATTTCAACGGTTTGTATCTATCTTAACTGTTTTACAACGCGAAATGACTTCCTATAAATTAAGTAGACTTAGGCATGTTTTCAACATTTCACACAACTTCATCCCGCCTGGGCAACGTCACAGCTATACATTCAGATCAACAAATGCCGTGAAAAAAAAAATTCGTTATAATGCGCTCTCTAGAATGTTGTGCTCCCTACTTAGTACTTATCCGAGTGTATCAGTTCTACGCACAGGAAGATTTGCTGTTAGCTGCTACGCCTGTCTTTCTCCCATGTTCACCTTGTTGAGATTCTCCTGCACCTGTTACGTAAAGTGGATGCTGTTCCCGTTTTCCGTCTTTTCCTGGCAGCTGCTCCGGCCGTGCGACATGCGTCGGTTTTCAACATTCCCTGACGGAGCAACCACGGGCCTCGCCGACCTCTGGGCGCTCCTGTGTTTGTGATTTGTCGTTTGAGTATGCGCCCGATGGCGGGGTGAATCCCTGCGAGACTGGGCGTCGGCGGCGTGCACGCTGTGATCCCTGCGTTAATGGCATCCTGTGTGCTCCCGTGTGACCGGTGCTGTGGTTTGCTGTGCTGTGCTGATGGTGGGGGACAGCCGGAGAGCGTTTCGGTGCTCGCGGCTCAGGTTTGCTCAATGTTTGTTACGGGGTTTGCTGGTCGTTGAGAGTGCTCTGTTTGGGAATAGGATAGGGAACACGAGACCATTGCGGCATTCCATACAGTTATCTATGAAAACTGTGCAGTGTGCATCATTGTGAGTTTCTATATTAGGGTGTTCTTTACATCCCCTGCTGCTGTGTGGGGAACTTCGCTTTTCTGTTCTCAATAGTGATTTACGATGATGCAGAACGTGATAAATTCGGACCTTGCCTGATGATTTGGCTAGGCATATCAAAGCTCGGCCTATGGCACTGATATCCGTGGCTCTCATTTGCCTGTGTCTTGTTTGTGTCAATTCTGAATCGACAGCCATCAGAATCGTGTGCCGTTTCCACCATTTCTAGTCATCCACGATCGTTTGCCGGCATACGTTTGTAATATCTCTGCGTCGCTGCTTTTTACGTAGCAGTGCTGTCGTTTGTTGTGTGTATGTGTGCTAAATATGATCTGCATGCTTCTAACTCCATTGTTTGCCTGGTACTTAGGTACTTTGGGAAAGCGCTTGCAGTCTGCAAGCATGGCATATGCTGAGTAATATGCATAGGCATTGAAGTGCATATCCGCTAGGTTTGTAAAGTGCTTGCAACATGAACAGTGAACAATGTTGCGGAAATGTGGATACCTACTTCTGCTACTTTGGACGACCATTCAACTTTCTTGTAACTGCTGAAAAGTTTTGTGTGAAATTATATCTCCTAGTTCGATTATTTTTTCTATTCTAGTTTTGCTATTATTTTTTATCACCGCTGGCATTTGAGCAGGCTCGGAATGACGAGAAATCGGGAAGACCTTTGGGCGCCAGTTTTCAAGCTCAGATTCTTGCAGCGTTTTAGGGTCAATTTACTGCTGCAATATGCCAACCTTGATAATGTTGAATCAACACTGCGTCGTCAGTTGCCAATTGTTTGTTGTTTCATCTCAGTCTGTATGTTGAACATTTTGTCAGGTAATAGTTATTGAGAATCCTGACTATTTAGTAGCCAATGAGCTACATCTAATTATCTCTGCTCACATTTGTAGTAATCAAGCAGCAACACTCAGCTTATACGGCCTTGACACTCAGTAGGTCTAGCAAGTCGTCAAGTGAAGTCAGTAGGCGGAACTATGGTCATGAGTACCCAAATATAGGAACGTTCCCATTTTTGGGAACGGAGTTCCCAAATATGGGAACGGGCGTTCCCATTTATGAGAACGGAAGGCAATTTTTCGGCCGTTCGCCCACTAAAACTCAAAAGTGCATCACGTCTCAAAAAAGTGCACGCTGATTTAAGTATCTACTAAATCTCCATAAAGTTATCTTTAATCTGACCGTGGAACAAGGAAATTGACCGTGGAATGATATTTTTAATGATTTTTTTAAAAATGACAGAATGGTGGAAATATGGGTTATATGACATTTAACATGCAATTTTAAGGAAAATGAAGCATTTTTTACATTTTGAGGTCAAGTATAATAATTTTCGCCTGGTTATGAAGTTTCATTCTAGCGACACCAGATGCTGACATATGCAAGCGAACACGCGGACAGTCCCGAGGTAATATTGTTGACTTTTGGTGTCGGGGCGATCGACCGCGTGGAACGTCAGTGATTTTACCGAACTACTGTTGTAAACTCAGTTTCAGTGGTTTAAAATCATTCAGCTGTATTTTATCAGCCCTGAAAGACATATTTTATTTGGATGCTAGCTGTTTAGCGTTGTTTTATAAGCAGCGTCATGAGCGTGGTTTTTGTCTTCGGCGTTTCTAAGCATGATCGTTTGGGGGGAATTTCTCTGATATAGGTCGCTCTGTGTGGCTTATTTATAATTTTTATGCTGATTTCGATCATTCCTCGTGCCCATCCTACCAGGCTTTTTGCCACTTACACTCATTAAGAAAGGAAAAAACTAGATTTTCATTGGGACTAGGTGTTTTGAGGGTGTAACATATTCAGCGTTCCCATTTTTGGATACTTCTTGTGCTTGTCAACTCTCTGTGATTAGCAGACAGGTGCTTGACATGTCTCCACCCTCGGCGCGGACGGTGGATATAGGTATGGAAGACCTTGTTGAACATCGCTGAGCGTTGTGCATTACGTAATCCTGCAGAGGGGGGCGTGCCCGCTGCGAGATCGACGGGAATAAAAGCGCAGAAGACCGGGCGAAACATGCAACGGTCTTGCCGGAAAGGTCATCTGATGATTGTTGCGTTAACAATAATTTGCGGCGTTGGACGTGATGCTTGTTAATGAAAAGAGCCCCTGAAAGGCGTCGGTGAAATCGTTCCCAATTTTGGGTACGCCGTTCCCATAATAAGGAACGCTTGCAGCGCCAGTGTACGAGAGCGTTCCCAAATTTGGGCTCGCGGCCCGGGTGATGGACTGCTTTAGAAATAGGGGAACGATTTGAAACTACGATGGGCCTTACAATATCAAACTCTTTCCCAACAATATTGAGACAACTATCAGGCGGTTCACGATCGTTTTATATTTTTTGGACGTCATTTAACGGTTCTTTTTCTTGTTTTAAATAATGCCTACATGGCGTTCCCATATTTGGGTTTATCGTTCCCAAACATGGGAACGAAAATGCGTTCCCGAAAATGGGTACGCTTGACCATAGTTCCGCCTACTGAAGTGACTGGGCTGGGACTTGGACTGGGAGGAGGAACAGCTGAAGCTGAAGGGTAAGTTTAAGTAAAAGTGTTTCAGCTTTCAATTTCAATTTGGCTAGCATTCGCCGCATTTGCCCCTCAATGGTGTGTTGGCCAAGTTTATATTGTTTGATGCAGATCAAGATTGATTGGTTGGTGGATGGATTTGTGCCTACACGAGCATTTTTTTTTCATAGCACAATCAATACAAATAGTAGTTTCAGTTTGTATACCTATTTCTCTTTTTCTCAACAATAGACATGGCAAACCCCAAAAATGAAAATGTGTTTGGTGTGTCATTTGATATTGGTGTAAGGTAGGGAATGATAATTATAATGCTTTTACTGTACACATTTTGCAACACAGTGTAGGCATTGTTTCTTTAGATGTATAGCTGATAAGATGATTTTTCATGGCTTGGAGAGGAAGGTAATAGCATCTTTAGTTTTGAAGCAACTAACTCAATGAAGAACTTAATCAACAAGCAGGGTTATTAAGGACTCAAGAAGTAGACATTAATGATTGAGGTCTGTGTTTTAGCCCATATTGTTTTAAGATAAACTATTATTTCAAGCCAGCTCAACTTAACTTTGATTAGTCTTGTCTAACTGGTTGCTGTCTGATGTGTTGTCTTGATTTGATTTACATTTATTATTTATTATGTATTTGCCTTCTTGATCTAAGCACTGGCCACTGAGGGAGCAAGTTTTTTTTTTGAAAATGGGTTTAGTAAGTTATTTCTGTACTGTTTCTGGTGTAATGAATTTAATGAGACCGAAAACTAAGTGTGATTTAGTCTTACCAAAAGGATGGAAAGTGGGTGCACTAAGCTTACACTAAGCATCTGTTGAAGTTTGTTGGTACCTTGGCAATCCTAACAAAATAATCAGTTCTGAATCATTTATGAAGACTTGTCTTTGTAAAGAACTCCAGGTTGTTATTTTGACTGTCATATATGCACAAGATGAATAGACAGCAGTGGTGCATGGAAATAAGTGTGGCCATATTTCAGGCCAAGGAGGGATGATAATTGAGCTACAGTTGTAGGAAGTAAACTTATGGCTGTCATCAAATTGAAACAGTTATGCACAATTATTTGTCTGACTGGTGACCTGAACTGGAAGTGCCAAGTAGATCCCAGTTTTACTTGTCAAGGAAACTAGGAACCTATCTTTTTCAATGTCAATGAGAATATGCCATACTCTAGTGTGTGACACATAAGTGATGGTTTTACTTGCCAGCTACAGCATTAGCCATTGATTGAGGCAGGTAGCAGGTAAACAATGTCCAATGTTGTTGACTCATTTAATGTTCAACTCTTTAATCAAAGATCCCAGGATCTACTGATGAGGAGGTAGATGTTAGAGATATTTGGATCCTAGGATCCCTGATGAAGAGTTGGAGGGTGTGACTTTCAACTCCAAATGATATACTGTGTACTTCTGATGTCAGGCTCATCAGTAAGCCCCAAAATTGGTTTCATTCTCCTGGATTCATTCTCATTCTCCCGCGCCCTGCTGGGGGGGTGTTTGAACACCCCCCCCCCCTTGTGGTTTTTCGCGAATATCTAAAAAACGGCGGCGCGGAGCGCCGCCGTTTTTGGTACACCTTATCATACATCAATTCTACACATGTTGTGAAAATTTCAGACCAAGGTCATTCAAGGTCAGGTCACCAGGTCACTTGAAATGACCTCACCTCATAAAAAGTTTCAATGTCTGTCATAGCTACACCAAGTGACCGATCGCTTTGAAACTTTCAGCGATTGCTAAGAGCAATAGCATGTACAAAATGTATATCTCAGAATTTTGATATCGATGACCTAAGGTCAGGTCAATTTTGCGACCTCCCCATTATAAGTCAATGGGAGAAAATTGAAATGCGCATCTTTTGGACGAAAGACATTATAAACACTCCCAAACACCGAATTACAAGTGGTTTAGACACACTGAACATGAAAATGGTGTCCGTGACCCTTGTTTATGCCCTGAGGTCATCTTAGGTCACGAATGGTATCTAGCAGTTTTTCGCAAATAACTTTTGATAGAGGCATGCTAGAGCGATGAAAACGCCTTAGATGTGTTCAGCTCGACGATACGGATCGACTGATATGCAACATGACCCTTTCCGGTCAGGTCATGACCTTGACCTGAGGTCAAATTTTCAAGTTGACCTTTCAAGGTCAAGTTATAGTTCATTCGATGCGTCTTGACGAGAGAAACACGATGCCGGTTAAAGTAAGCTCGTACAAGGCTTGGGTCAAAAGTTATTGCAGAAAAACTGTTTCCGAAAAAATCGGCTATTTTTGCAGTTTTTGCCCCCTGCAGGCAAAACCGTTGACGTTAGGTCAAATCTGAGAGAATTACTCAGAAAGGGCGTTAATAGGGCTATCGAATGCGCTTTTCCGCGGCGCTGTAGCTCTATTGGTTCCCGAGTTATGCGTTGGCTTCTTGGAAATTTTCGACATTCGACCTGGAAATCGGCGAAATTTTGCCTTCAATGACCTCTGGTGACCTGACCTTTGACCTGACCAAAAAATTGACCGAAGTGATTTCGTCATTATTTTTGACGCTCTTTCGAACGCCGCCTTCCGCGTATCGCTACGTGGCCCAGGAGCCGAGTTACAAGGGGGGGGGTGTTCAAACACCCCCCCCCCCCAGCAGGGCGTGGAAATCCAGGACCCCCAGCCGGGCGCGGGTTAAAGAAGCCAGTCCATTCCCATATGGGGTTTATGCCAAATACATTTATCCCTCTTGTCATACATTGAAATAGAGCACTCCTGGCTTTTGGCTTCACAGCCACTGCTCATATTGGCTGGTGTTTGATTGCT